ACTAGGTTAAATCAAATGATTAAAGTATCCAAGTTCTACTTTTTCCCCCTCTGCTACTCTTCTTTGCTCTGCCAATGCAAGGAAATTAAAGGAAGACGGATAGTTTGAATAGTAAAAGATTTTGCTTCTGCCATTGAGGCAAGCTCGGTATTAGCGGTGAGGTGAATTTGATGAAGGTGGTTGTAGCGAGCTTGGCAATTTCGATAGTATGGCCCGGAGACGATGCCAGAGGATGTGGAGAAGCTAGGTTCGATGGTCAATTGTGGTTAATTCGATGAATATGATGGGTCTGACAAAGGAAGTAGTGGCAAGTATTCGATCGAGGAAGGGGATGTGGATTTGGAGGTGGTGGTGAAGCTTTCGGTGGAGAAGGAGGGTGTTGGAGGAGCTCGTCATGAAGTTGGGACATGAGTTCTATCCATTCACATTTTTTAGTACTTCTGTGCATGGATAAATGCATTTATATTATCTAAATTGAAGTTTCAGTGTAGTGTGGTGTGTGTTGTCATAATTGGAGAAACTCATTTCTTATTTACTTCTCTTTGTTTCTTTTTCATCTTATATAGGAAAAAATAAGATTAACGTACTTTCTTTTTTCATATACAGCGGGATGACTATGCGCGCAACTTTATTTGGGGATTTGGCTACAAATGAAGGATCAATTCTTGAAGCTGAAATCAAAGATAAGTTGGTAATAGCATTATCAGATTTTAAATCTCTATATATAAAGGTACATAATTTATTATTGAAATTCTTATTAAAGACAGGTAAACATAAAAGTCATTCAATAATTATCTCAATTTTGCAGGGGAGACAAGCATATCGTTACAAATTATATCAACAATATGTATCAACCCAAAAATACAACTAGCTAAAGAATTAAGGGAATGGTAAGTAGAACAAGCATACTTTCATATAACGTAATAATGAAATAGTATTATATTTTAATCTAATGTGCAGGTTTCATTTGGAAGAAGCCACAAAATCAAAAGGATCTCCATCAACGATTTTTATAAATTCAAAAGAAACTCAAATAAGTGATATTATACTTACATCGTAGAATTCGATACATGTACAATATTAGAAACCTATTCTTATTAACACATTTAAATCTAACTAAATTTTGTCAATATACAGACACGCTATTGCACATTTAAGGCAAAGATAACTACTATTTTGAATAGTCTCGAGCCATAGTTCAATGCTTGCAAAGACTACAACAAGAAGGTAGATAAAGATGTCAGTAAAGAGTGCATGAATGATAAATGCCGCTGAATCATTAATGACTCAGTACCAATGTTAAGTAATATATATATTTTTTATGGCATGAACATATTAAAATACAATATTAACTATCTCTAGAAATCGACAATGAAAACTACAGGTACTTAGTTAAGATTCTCGTGGAAAATAACATGTATATTGCAAGGGTAACACTGTTTGATGCAACAAAAACTTTTATTGGATGCACAACAGAAAAATTCATTATAGAAAAAAGAGATAATCCTTAACTCTATTCAAGTAATAATTTAGAAAATCAAAAAATTCCATATATATTAAAATAACATTTTTTTCTCATTAAAACAGAAAAATAATCAAAGTTTATATTTTTAGAAATTTGTGTTCAACATCGAAAAACGTTCAAATTCCTGGTGAAGTTAGATAAAAAACAAAAGATGAATGAGGCGAAGAAAATATAATAGCACAAGAAATCCAACTCCCTCCTGATATTACAATCGACATAGATGAAGAAGGTGCTACTCTAGAATTATCCTGGAAAAAGATAAATGTGGAGAAAGATTGATCTCGGTTCAATTAAAATATGAAATAAAAATAATAAAGGATAATATTTTTGATCATTTTATATCATATCTTAATTTTTGAGTAGAATTAGAATTTTTTATAAAGGATTTTCATATAACATTATTAGTAGTTTTGTATGCTTATGTGATTGCTTTCATCACATAAAATTATACTATAGTTACCATTATTATTTAGTTTTTATCTTTTATTACTACTTTTGGAAAATTATATGTGTATTTCCCTGTCTTTTCTGTAATTGGTATGTTTTGTTCTTCAAATTTCATTGTAAATTTCTATATGGGATTGCTCTAATCTTATTGTTTTTGGACATTTACTCTCTAATTGTAAAGTTCTACGATGCGCAATTGTTTAAAATCTTTATGTTTCTTCGAGTTCGTTCTAAATTTGTTTATAGGTTTGCTCTAATTTTACTGCTTTGGGACAATTACTCTATGGCTGCAATGTTCTTCAATGCGCACTTGATTAAAATCTTCATGTTTCTTTGAGTTTCATTATAAATTTCTTTAATTTTCTTTTACTATTCTACTTGAAGATATTATTATGTCAATTCATATTTTTTTTCTTAAGAAACCAATCAAGATGTCTCAGTTAAGCTTATAATATCCAAAAAAATTGTGCAATTCTACTTTTAATGCAATAAGAAATGTGATTTCTTTATTGCTATAACTATAATTCATAATGTTGTGCAATTCTACTTTTAATGCAATAAGAAATGTGATTTCTTTATTGCTATAACTATAATTCATAATGACAATTACAATATCCCAGTTAGGTACATTCATCCCAAGTAAGCTTAAAAATCAATTACATTGATTTTTAATAATATTTAAATAAAAATAATAGTAAATCTAATAATTCAATTTTACATATTTTAACTCGAGATGAATCTGGTTTACTTATAGTAACAAAATAAATATAAAAAATATTTTGATATTTTACCACGTGCATTGCACGTGCATAAAAACTAGTATACATAAAATAGACACTGTTACTTATTCAATCTCTTTGGTATAACTTGTCTGGTTATCTAATAACCAAAAGTCTATAGTCAAATAGATATGCACACATAAACATATTCTATCAATATTCTAATATAACTAGGGTCATGAATAGCCACCAATCAAATAACTATGTATAACATTAAACAAAGGGAAGTAGCAACAAGTCTCTTTGTCTGCCATGGCCAAGAGCTCAATAAAAGAGCAGCAACTAATTTGGTTGTCTGCCATGGTCAAAATTAAACAACATGGTCAACATCACCTAGAATATGATCTAAATAACCTAAAATAAGATTGGTGCATAGCCTTCATCTACAACAAATAATATTTTACAACAATATTAGATATAGAAGCAATACCTATTTCTTGTGTAGAGTTGAACAAATCACCACGTCCTCCCTCTCAACCCAAAACTGATCTTTTTTTTGTGTGCGGCGAGACAAGGACGAGAGCAGAGAAAAAGGACAACGGTGATACAATGAAGGAATTAGGGTAGGGTTTCTAGGTATTTTTATAAAGGTTCTTTTTGCTAATAAAACCCTCTAATAAAATTTACATTAAAACCCCTACACTTTTTCTTATAAATATCTATCTAAGGAAAACTTAGAATTATTACATACTGGACAAATTTGACTCCAGTTGCATGCAACTGGAGTTGCAACCATTCTAGTTGCAAGCTATTAAATGCCCCCTTAAATGATATGAGGTATCACTTTGCATCATAATTCTATGTATCTTTTAATTGTATGATTTAGGATGGTGTCAATGGACACCACCCTCTATGTACTACATCTGCCCCTAGTTATGAGTTTTTCTTATCAAGACATATCTGTAGTCATGTATATGTTGTGATTATTAAGCGGGTATGGTTATGATAAGTATCTGTTATAGTCATTTTAGTGCTGAAAAGTAATCTCCAAACCAATGGCAGACAAATATCGCACATTATGCGTAATCGAGCCAGTACTTCAAAATAACCCAAGACCCAACTCCGATGACTCGACACGCCGACATCTCGCAAGGACGACTCAAAATGGCGTTACATGTCGACCCATGGCTAGGTTGACTCCTTGATCGTCCTACTCGACCGGCCATTCGGCTGACATCTTGCGAATGCGACTCAAAAGGTGGTACTTCTCGACCACCGAACGAGTAGAAAGATGACAAAATATCTCGAGCCTTGAGCCCCCTCCTGTGCACTGACAACCAATCACCTCATAATAAACGTCATTAAATGCATTATGTGTGTCATCATTCCTCTGTCTCTAATTATCTTTATGACACATCGGACCGGTACTGCACACCCCAATCACTTCGCATTAAATACCAAAGTGACATCTCCTCCACTCATCGATCGACACCTGTAAAGTAGATGCTGACGTGGCCGCCATCTCATACCCCGTCGAAGTTATCATTCTACCCTTCTACCACTACTATAAATAGGGATACTATTTTTAATAATAAGGGTAATATTTTTTTCTTCACCCACTACTATAAATAGGGGTACTATTTTCAACAATAAGGGTAATATTTTTTTTCTTCACCCACTACTATAAATAGGGGTATTGTTTTCAACAATAAGGGTAAGATTTTTTTTTCTTCACCCGCTATACTTAAGAACTTCTATAGTTCAGTTTCTTCTCCACTCAAGCATATTACCGACTTGATCTTCGGAGGAACAACCGGGGAACGCAACCTCTCCCTCTTACGATTTGCTACTTGTGCAGAGAAGCTTCAGAACCGGACATTTGGAGGGTTAGAGGACCTCCGTCAACTTAATCACTTCTTTCATTGACTGTTTGATATCAGCCATCGACAATATCCAAGCCTCACACCATCCTTCATACATCATATTTGTCCCCGGTACGTTATGAGTTTTTCTTACTGAGAATATTTGTATCTATGTATGTATACGTGGTTAATAAGCAAATATGGTTATAATACGTATCATATCCAAACCGTATCCTAACCGTTTGCACCCTAATCACAGCGGTACTGAGAATCTGCGATCCACGCAGAAAATTGGAAGCTTGGAAGGGGGAAAAAATGTAGGCACGCAGACATTCACATGGAGCACGAGCTATAATATTGTAATGAGGTCCTTAAAATAAAATCCACGTGACAACATCAAAAATTAACACCTAGGACTAAATTAAATAGCAAACAATAAGCTTCAATTCAATAGTCATTCTTATAAGATCCCCGTCTCAGCCTCTTTTTATATAAATCTTTCCTTCTATCTCTCTCTTCTTCTCAATTAACCAGGTAATTAACTTTGATATTTTAATGATTTCAGATTTTAAAACCCATTATCTTGTGTTTAATTCTCAATCGAAATTGATACAGCATTTTGTTTAGTTTGGAGTGGGATTGAATAAAAAAAAAATAATGGCTCGCAAAAAGATCCGAGAGTACGATTCGAAGCGTCTCCTGAAACAGCACCTCAACAGAATCGCTGGCGTTCAACTCAACATCAGATCTGCTCAGGTGATTTCAATCCGTCAATCCTGATTTTTTAATGGGTTATTTGCACTTTTTTAATGGGTTTTCGGCGAAATCTGTTGTGGGGTTAGTCAAATAGTACTCAAAACTAGAACTAGAATGATTTGTGAGATAAAACTTTATAGTGTTAGTCAACTAGAATTAGAATAAAATTTTACAGTGTTAGTCAACTAGAGGTCTAACAAAACTAGAGTTGGGATAATTGTACAAAATTATCTCACTTTTTTTATTTTTCTATACAAAAATGTGAGTTCTGATCTCTCAAATTATCCTAAGTTTGAGCTTGAGACTAGGTAGTAAAATAATAGAACTCCTATTTGTTTCTTTTTTTTTACTTCTTTCCTACTATGGTCATCACCATCATTAGACCATGTCGTTAGATAAGATCTCATCTCCTCTTAGTCACCTCTAATATGTTTTTTCACCAAATATTATAATTATATAATTAATTTAAAAGCAAAGATTGTATTAATCCATAATTTATTAAATAACAAATTAAGAGATGGGGGAAAGAGATTTTAGGGAGCAAAAAAGGAAGGAAAATGTAAAAAAAAATAGACTTGTACTATAATAGTAATTAAAAGATAAAAAGCAACAAATATATTATAATAATAATTATCAATATCTTATAGTCTAACCAAAAGCTATTTAATAGTAAATAATATTCTTGTAAATAATTATTAATCAATAATAGTAAGTTTAAAATACATAAATAGTATTTATATCCTCAAAATACATAAATATATACTTCATGATTATAAAAATTATTACTTTATTAAAATATCTTATATCTCACTTCATAAAATTGTTCCTAGTTATCCCACCAAAAGATCTCACTAGGAAAAAATTATTCCAGTATAATAATTATCCTCATTTCATATGAAAATTTCTCAATTGAACTAACACCCCCTTGGGGAAATTTTCTTCCACCCCTGACCAAAGTTATTGTGTTTTACACCCTTCTTCTCCTTCAACGTCGCCAAACTCAAATTTCTTCTGACCCTTTATCTAATAAGACCCTCATTCATCATCATCAATCTCTCTCTCTCTCTCTCTCTCTCTCTCTCTCTCTCTCTCTCTCTCTCTCTCTCTCATTAATAGAGCCTCCTACTTACCCTTCAAACTCCCACAATTATCCAAACTCAAATCCAAATGATCAACCACTTAGTGTGGACCAGAGTTTGGGTTTGAATTGGGAGAGGTTGAAGGAGAAGGAGCGAACTCTCATTGATGAGAGAGAAAGAGAATGTGAAGGAGAGCCTTATTGAGTAAATGGGTAGAATAAATTTGAGTTTGGAGATATTGAAGACCGAGAGGGCTCTAGAGAGGGTGAAGAGTCTTATTGGATAAAGGGGTAGAAGAAATTTGAGTCCGGAGATATTGAAGGAGAAGAATGGTGTAAAATACAATAGCATTATAAGGTCAAGAGTAGAAGAAATTTTCCCAATAGTTCAGTCTAGATAAATTCATTGCCGATGAAATTTGGTATTCAAATTGCCCATTTGCCAATCTTTTAATACCAAAAAATGTCATGAGGTAAATGGGGGTCTATTTTAAATACCAATATGGTAATTTAGCCCATTTTTAACTTTGATATGATATCCCCAAAGTTTATTGATATCCCGAAGTTCACATTTTTTAACTTTGATATATCAAAGTCTTTTTTTAACACTTTGATACACCAAAGTTTACACTTTTTGAACTTTGATATTCCAAAGTTTTGTTTTTGATACTTTGATACCTTAAATTTAGGGTACCTAAGGTAAAAAGCGTGTAAATTTTGGGGTATCAAAGTTAAAAAATATGTAAACATTGGGGTATCATATCCAAGTATGAAAAAGATGGTCTGGGTATCAAATTGTCAAATTTTGTGGTAATAAAAAAGACGTAAACTTTAGGATACCACTTATTAATATCTGATATAGTTTAATTAATTGAAACCTGACAGCATATATTGTGTTTGATTAAAAATTTTGATTTTTGGTTATGATAAAATGTATGTAGATCACGGAGTCTACTGATTTGAACGAGCTGGCCTCAGAATCAGAGCCATGGCTATCATCGGAGAAGCTCGTTGTGAAGCCAGACATGCTGTTTGGCAAGCGAGGAAAGAGCGGCCTCGTTGCTCTCAATCTCGATCTTTCTCAGGCTGCTTCTTTCGTAAAAGATCGCCTTGGAAAAGAGGTACATTCTTTGCACTTATATACCCTCATTTGTTTTTCGCAGCACTATCATACTCTATAAAGTTTTAAAATCTGCATTTAAATACACTCAGTTATGCAAATGCGGGGATTTCCCACCGAAAAATTCCCATACGACCCTTACATTCAAATTTTAGAATATTTCAACTTTTAATGTTTGTTAAATTTACCGCTAGACATATCAACATCCTATAATGAACTTAAATAAATAAATAGGTGGAGATAGGAGGTTGTAAGGGACCGATCACTACGTTCATTGTCGAACCGTTCGTTCCCCATGACCAAGAATACTACCTCAACATTGTCTCCGAGAGACTCGGTTGTAGCATCAGCTTTTCCGAATGCGGAGGAATTGAAATTGAAGAGAACTGGGATAAGGTAATTAGTTTCTTATCTACTAAGGATGAGATTTTAATAAGAATCTAATAGAGCTTGCCTACATTAATATCTGTAACTAAGAACTTGAAACTGTTTTGACGCCAGGTTAAGACTATATTCATTCCCACGGAGGCTTCTCTAACCTCCGATACTTGTGCTCCCCTTGTCGCAACACTTCCGCTGGAGGTAATTTCCACTCTACGCCCTCGTTGATTGCGTTGAGAACTATTAGTCCTTATTAGCATATAGCACGATCGATCATGAGCTTTTAAGGATTTGTGTAGCTGTATTTGTCAGGTAAAACGAAAGATTGAGGAGTTCATTAAAGCAGTTTATGCCTTGTTTATCGGTGAGTAGGGTCCTTTGAGTTTGTCAGACTTGCCCATTGGCCTTTGTATCATATCATGATGATATGGGAAGGCCTGAATTTATTTCTATGCAGACTTGGACTTCACATTCCTGGAGATGAACCCATTTGCTTTAGTTGATGGAAATCCTTATCCTTTGGACATGAGAGGAGAGCTCGATGATACTGCTACTTTTAAAAACTTCAAGAAGTACAGCTCCATTCTTTTCTCTTCAACCATTTGTTTCTCTTCTGCATCCTTTTGAACGCCAGATGAGAAGGAACGTCGTAACTTTTATTTGCACAGGTGGGGTGACATTGAGTTCCCGATGCCATTTGGAAGAGTCATGAGCGCTTCTGAAAACTTTGTTCATGGACTGGATGAAAAGGTATAAGCACCCTATAACATTTTTCTTGCGATCTTTTCTCGTATCTCATGTTTCTTCATTTATTTCCATACGGACACAAGGGAACCTTCAGTTACTTGTTACTCCCCTTGAGGTTTTCCGTCTTAGGTCTTGACAAGTGTTTTGCCTCATGAGAAATGACTTTCTATGAAAGTACATTGGCTCTAATTATGAAGGAGATTTTGAAAGAATTTTTTTTTTGTTAAATTGTTTGTTGGGGTTGCTGCGTTTTGAAAAAAGTTAACTAAGTTACCAGGCCCAAGGAAATTAATAATGTAAGATGACAAATGCTTCTTTCTCTTAATCTTTGTGCATATTTTTTTATGGTGTCCTAGATTTTTAACTCATGGTACTTCATAGAAAAAATCTATCTAGCATATAGGACAGTTTTATGTATCTTAACTCTAAATAACTGCACATTGCAGATCCCTTAAGCCCGATAAAACTATGTGGTAAGCCCGATAAAACTATGTGGGCAGGCCACTCATCCCAGCTTGTGTATGGAAAATAGCATGCAAATATCATTTGTTCTTTTGGTTCCGGATGTCCATTTTATTCGGATTCAAGATCCATTTTCAAGAGATTTCTCTGTTGCATATTTTCTGCAGACTAGCGCATCTTTGAAGTTCACAGTCCTAAACCCAAAAGGAAGAATTTGGACCATGGTAGCTGGTGGAGGTGCTAGCGTTATATATGCTGACACGGTAGGGGTCTTTACGTAGGAGCACAGTTCTTTATTCCAAGTTTCCTATCTTGATCAAAATAATGGTTCCTTTGTTTTGTTCTTAATCCCTGGTCGATCATAATAGTGGCTAACACGCAACGCCTAATCAGGTTGGAGATTTGGGATATGCTTCTGAACTTGGGAACTATGCTGAATACAGTGGAGCTCCAAAAGAAGATGAGGTGCTGCAATATGCAAGAGTTGTGATAGATGTGAGCTTTTCTTTCATGCTCTATATATTGTTTAATTTACCTGCATCCGTGATATTATCTTTACTTTTGTCTCATTTCCATCAATTTCTTTCATGCTCTATATATTGTTTAATTTACCTGCATCTGTGATATTATCTTTACTTTTGTCTCATTTCCATCAATACTATACTAGTAACATAAAAACCTGGTTACGTGTTTTTGATACTAGTCAAATTCTAAAGGCTCTAACGTTTAATAGCTAATAATCCTTTTTTAATTTCCACCATCGCATCTAGGAAATTCCTTTTTCTTTTCCTTTTAATTTCAATTTCCTATAAATCATTCATTTTGTTCTCTCTTTTCAAAAAAACTTATTTTTATCCTCTCTTTATCCAAAAGTCTAATGTACATACAAGAATATTAATTTAATCCCGTGCATCACATGGGTAGCAACCAGTTACTCTATCATAACTTCCCCCCTTACACAGAATGTGATCTTCCTCAGCGTTGCTACTGATGAATTTCCTTAACTATATGAATTTTCTGATGTACGAGGGCATTATGGTGCTCCTGTTTTTTTTGTTTTTAATCATACATGTTTTCCTAAACAGTGTGCAACAGCAGACCCTGACGGCGATAAGAGAGCTCTCGTTATTGGTGGAGGGATTGCTAACTTTACAGATGTTGCTGCAACCTTCAGTGGCATTATCAGGGCATTAAGAGAGAAGGTGACTCATGGCTTAGCTTCTGCTTATAGATCTTCAAGAGTTCATTCTTGAACAGTCACAAATTCTTCTTCGTGTGTGGTGATCTCTTGAATTGGCAGGAATCGAAGCTTAAAGCTGCAAGGATGCACATCTATGTGAGAAGAGGAGGTCCAAATTATCAAACTGGTCTTGCAAAAATGCGACGCCTTGGAGAGGAACTTGGCATCCCTCTTGAAGTAAGAAAATAGTTTCTTAACGCACAGATCATTGTGTTATAAATAGCTATATTTTTGTTTCGATGATGGTTACGTCTAGATATCAGCAGAATGGAATGCTTTTACTTTGGCTTGCTAACTATGAATGATCTTTGCAAGTCATCATTTTAACAAATGACTTCTATGGTGGGCTTGATTAACTATCATCCTGTTGGAGCCTGCTTCCAGGGGTTGAAATTAATCACTGGTCACTGCACTGGATATTTCTAATTATGTAAAACTTCTGGGCTGCCTGACCCATGGGCAAGCAAGCAAACAACCTGTTAAGACTTTTTGCAAAATAGCCGAGGTCGTTGTTAAGGAAAACAAAATCCTGATGGCTTGGAGGACTAATTTCTACTGAGTTTCATTCTTATAGAGTTATAAAACTATATCATTACACAATACTTAGAGAGTTAAAAGCTGAAAGTTGCAATTAGAAATTACAATATTACCATTGTGAAGTATCTCAGGCTTCCAGTTAACATTGTTGATAAAATGAAATATCTCATAATTATTAAGTTTATAAAATGGTACCATCTTCCATCTTCAGATAGAGTTCTATCCTGGAAGATGGCTATATTATATAAAATAGTTTATCGAACTTATCCAAGGACCATGTCATTCTTAGGGTAAACCTTCACTTGAATCTCGTATAATCAAGCTTGAGCTTCAGTTGAAGACCGAATAAACACACATGAACCACAGGTAACGAGGCATAAGCAGAGCTTCACAGCAAGGGCGGATGGATATGCAAGCTTAGGGGTGCAGTTGCATCCCTAAGATTATTAAAATTACATCCTAAGTCATCTAAATTCGCAAGTCGCCCCCCATGTTAAACTGCTTTCCACTGTTTAACTGGCTTGGAATTGATTCTTGTAAGATTCCCCATGTCTTTTTCTTAATGTTTCACGGGTAGACCGTTATAGTTTTTTTTATCTATGAGAAAATTTTTCTGCTTCCTCCTCTGAGTCCCTGAGACCACTTCAATTTCAATAACAACAACAATTAAACCTTTGTCACAAACTTTTGGGGTGGGTCGAATAAGATCGGCTCCTATTTCTGAAGCATAAATCAGCCTCAAGGTGTTCATTCTTTCTATGACTCGGATTAGTTAGAAGTCGGCAATCGTTGTTAATCTTTGTGCCGCCAGCCTGTTTTCATGACTTACTATGTAACTAAATGTGTTCAGTTACAAGATAGATGCTTTGATGTCAGATATTGATAGCCTGCCTATAATGTGACATTTTCTTATGCTGACACTTTCAATGGCTTCATTTATATGATAACTATAGCAAGTAAGGTACCAAACTGTTTGTTGACAACTATATTAATCTACTACAATTTAAGAGGCCGAGTTGGTTAAGAGGACAAAACCATGGAATCCTTACGCATCCGTGCCAAATTTTTGGTGGCAGTGTACTTGCTGATGTTTTTTTAAATTCTAGGTGATAAAATCGAGAGGTTTTTTTTTCTTTTTTTTTTTTTGGTGCCCTTCCTGCTGCTGAATTATATAACCATAGTGATTTTATCCTAGAAAGAAGATTGTTTTTATATTTAAGATCACTCCATGATTCTTGTACTTTTTTCCTTGTGTCTTTACAATACACAAGCGCAAGCTGATTGTTTTCCCCATAGCTGAAGAAAGATAAGAGCACCGTTTTTTATTTTCACTCGTATGTATTATACAGTTTATGTAATTCATCCTCCTCTAATTTGTTGCATCCAGGTCTACGGTCCAGAGGAAACGATGACAGGTATATGCAAGCAGGCAATTGAGTGCATCACAACCTCTGCGTAAACATGGAAGGCGCTCGATAAAGTTAGTTACCTTCCGTACGTTTTAGTAGAATGAATCCAGTTGTCGCTCGTCTACTGAACATCTCCAATGAGGAAGAAAGCAAAGCAGCGATTAATAGATTGATCACATTGCTGAGTTGAACATTGAGAAGCAAGCGTTGTTGTTTGGTTGATGCCAGTTTTTAGTTTTATTTGAAGAATATGAATAATTTGCTCTTCTGAGTGTCAGGCACATGTACTTCTCTGTTGGTTTGGTGCCTCTCAATCTCATGCTCGCACTGAATTTATTTCACAATTAAAGCTCTTGCCTAACTAGTACTTGATAGAAACTAAAACTTCGGCGCGCAACCAATACGGGTGAATGCTCTTTTGACGGTAGTAATACTAAAGACTGCATGTTCTTTTGCACACTGCTCACAGTTACTTGATGCAGGTACTTTGGTTTGTGTATAATGTCACGTACACTTCCATCCTAAGCTCTGATTAATTTGTAGAGAACTGCGTAATATTTACATGATAAAACAGGAGGATACGGATACTGATACTGATACTGATACGTATAATCGCCTTAATTTCGCAGAGAGAGATTTCTTACCCTGCAGAGCAAAACAGGCCTGGCTTCATTCTTCATGTTACTAATGCTAGTTACTATACTAGTAATTTCCTATCACGAGTTCAAAATGTGGAATGCCTGATCCAGATGTGGTGAACTATTTGTATATCAACATATTGATATGAGGATTTTAAGCGACGCAGCAGTCAAGAGCACGAAAGACCTTTAGATGAAGGAATATAATAGTGAAGTTATAATACGTACAACTAAGAAATCTCACTGTATACATAAATTTATACTATGGAGATAAAAATAAATCCCAATAATAGATTCACTGAACAGTGTGTGCTTATATTAGCAAGAAGAATAAATAAATAAATAGCAAGTGGGGTCAGGCTTCAGCCCGGAGTCGTACTGCTGTCCTTCTCCTCCTCTCTCTTTCTCGTTCCCAAATCTTTTTCCCCTTTTCTCAATTTACTGCTACTCTTTAATTTATTTGTATATTTCCTTTCTCCCTCCCGTCTTCGTATTCATTAAAATATTTTAATTTGTTTGTTTATTCATTTACTTGCAAAGTGCAAATCTCTCCTCCATCAAGTTCCTCCTCCTCAATCTTTGATTATTTGCTGAAAGTTCTCATAATTATAAGCTATGGCGGCCTACGTTGCCGCTTCTTCTTTAACTTTGCATCCAATGAAATCGGCGGCGGCGTACAACAGCAAGCTACAAAGCTACAGAAGCAGAATCA